ATCTAAAATAAAATGAGACATCCTTGCGCAAGGGCTCTGCAGCTTGTGCTCCTGTTCTGCCACCCAGGAGCCCGGCCCTGCCCGGGCAGCCGGATGCCACATCCACGATCCAGCGTCGGCCGCTCCGGACGGCGCTTCCCGGGGAGCCCGGATCAGCGCGGGAGCAGCCAAGGAGGGACCTCACTGCTAATACAGCCGCACTGCTGCCGGGATAACCACTTCTCACCCACCTCACACCAAATTGATGGCAAAAACTGCCACAGCTGCTGCTCCGAAGGCCTCGCTGCACATGTGCAGCAAGGAGCAGGAAATATCCCTTTCCTGGGGTTTCTGTTGGATTTCAGGTTGAAATTGATGTTTGCCAGGGCCAGCATCTCCACCGTTGCCCAACTTGCTCCTTCTCCTCAAGGAGTCTACTTGCAAGGAGATAATTCCATTTGGACAGAAAGAACCAAAGGATGTTGGCCCTTCTCTGACAAAAAAAAAAAGCCATTTCCTATTTAACCATTCCTAGTCATTCTACAGCTGAGCTCGGGTATTTTTAGCTCATCTAACCTGTCTTTTCCTTCCAAATCTAGCTGAATTCCTCTTTTCTTCACCAATGTGAAGCACAGGACCACCACAGTGGCTGCACTGTCACCTCTCCCATTGCATTAAGTTTTCAACAATCCATTTATACACAAAAGTAGGATCTTACTATGCATCTGCCAACCGAATGTCACTGCTCTGTGAAATACTGGCTTCGAAAACACTGCACATAAGCGTGGCATGAAATAACACCAAAATAAAATAAGAAATGAGGGGAGAAAACAACTGTATGGTAAAGACACCAACTTCAGAAGGAAAAAATAATAATAATAATAAAAGGAAGGTATTGCCATTGTTTCTTACTACTTGTGAGCCATGTTGTTAGATACCTGCCAAAGAAAACTGGTTTGATTCAGCTGTACCACGTAATGACTTCGCTCTGTCAGACCAGCAGCAGTTTCTCTTGTCTCCTCCTGCTATAAAACAAAATGCCACTTCAAGAAAAATACCCCTTTTTGCAAGTTTCTGGGATGCAAAGAGTTACCAAGAGTCCCTGTCTGCTTTGTTTGTGTCCATCTGTTTACACAACCTCCAGGGCTTGAAATAACAAAGGCCTCCCCAGAAAGGAGCACAGGGGCAGCCTGCAAAGGGAACAAAGACAAATCCCAAGGAATCCACCCGGAATTCGGGATCCTGGAATATGGAAAGAGTATTTGAGACGGACCCAGCATGCAGGGATCCTGGAATATGGAAAGAGTATTTGAGATGGACCTGGCATCTGGCAATCCTGGAATACGGAAAGAGTATTTGAGACGGGAACCAAGCAGATTCGGGTATGGGATTAGGGTAACTGAGATTATTCAGTTCAGCTTTCAGAACACAGACAGGATTAATTACTAGAAGGCAACTGGATTTTGAGGCATTTTTCCGTGTATCGGTTTTCTTTCAGCTCGAGGAGACTTTGTTTTGTGCTGCAAATGTTCAGGACCCGCCGCCCAGCCGGCCCAACAGCCCAGAAGGCCCCGAAGGCCCCATTTGCCCCCAAATCACTGCTGGATTCGAGGAGTCGGTGCAAGCACCTTTGCTGATGGGGCAAGAACACGGCGAGGAAGGGCTGGAGCAACGGCACGACTTTGTCCCCAGTGACGCACGGGGCCAAACGAACCGAATTGATGAGAATCTGGAAGGGGAGCAGGCTCTGAACGCCTAGAATACAACCCAAAGCACCAGGAGATGGTACCCACTCCTCTCCTCCCTTTTTCCCTGTAGTTCATCAGGTATCAACCCATTAGGTACCAGAAGAAGCAAAGAAACCCCCAGTACAACTCAGCGCTGCGACATTCCAGGACACATTTCACACTGAAATCAATACTGCAGAAAATCAGGACTCAATCCGGGCAGTGTTTCCCTTTTTTGTTTGCTTTGTGACAGCAAGTGGTTATTTTCTCTGCGGTGGCCACACCTCCTCGAAAGGGACCTATTTAGAGCACGCGAGCTCGTTCAGTCATTTAAAATAAAAAGCTCCATTATTGCTGCAATAGCTGCCTGCCTATACACACATAAGCACCGAAAATCCATAGGAAAAACCCTATTTTATTCTGGAAGAAGCGCTTATTAAACTCAAGCAAGATTCACCCAGCAATGGGGGAGAAATCTGTTTATGTAGCTTAGGGAAAGCCAACAAACTAAGGCTGAATAACTGAACCAAGCATCCCCTCACGAATTCACCTGTTGTTTAAAGTCTGAGACGCATGTAATACACATATAATAGTCATAATTCTGCATCCTGGTACTTTTTCCCCCCTGGAGGAGGACCTAGCCATGTAAAGGCCCCATTTACCCCTTGTCACCCAGGCAAATCTGCAGGTGCCGAGCAGGGCTCCGTGGGAGGAGGACTCGGCACCGAGCGCTCCATCCAGGGCTGTCTTCGCTGATACTCAACAACTCCGAATAGCAGCTTCCAGTCTCGACATATTTTTGCATAATCGTCCTTATGTCACATTCAACATGAACTATTACACTACGAGGCACGTTCTTGTCAACGAGCAGAAATTTTACTTTGAAGGCAGCCGCGTTACAAGCTGGTTTCTACAGAGAGCATCGCTGAACTTGCACCCTTATTTCCCCCTTCCAAAGCTAATCTGTTTAAAACATGAATATACTATTATATTTCCGAGCAAAAAAAGAAACCCTCACTAGAAAAGAATACATTAAAAGCAGACATACACAGCGTAATGAAACAAAACTTATCCTTGCCAAGATATATAGGTGAGTGGGTCAGAGATACCCGGCATTATGGCTAAGAAAAGCACATCAGTGTCTCCACATCCTTAGTTTACTAACAAAAATATATCCCAGACCAGTCTAGGGTTTAAAGGCATTGCTTATAGCTCAAAATAAGCAAGCCTTCCTATAACGATGACTTCCTGCACAAATATAGAGAAAAAACACAGCTGCAACAGAAGAGGGCTTTTTTTGGATGCTAGGTGTTAATTTAGATCTCAAGAATTCGGAGAATTTTCACTGTTTTCAACTTGTCCATTTTTAACTATAGGAAGAGGGTAACATACAATTCCAGGAAGGAAAAAAAAATCCAGGAGAAAAAATGAGACTTCCCCATTCTGCTCTTCAACAAATGGGGTTAATCTTGTTTCAGTCTAACCCTGGATCAACAGTTCACCCACATGGGCACGAATTCTGGTATTTCGAGACAAAGGATCAGCAAAAAAGGTCACTGCAGCACGGGCCGAGGTTTCCCCATAGCAGATCAGCACCGGGGTGGTTTTATTCTCCAATCTGCACAACAAGCCACTCCGCAGCAATAAAAAAGGAAAAACAACATCCCCGCTCTCCAGATATTCCGCGCGCCCAGGAATGGGCCGGAATGGTAAAAACAACCACGGCGGATGAGGCGCTTCCCGCACGAGGCCTCCGACGGCCGAGCTGCCGGGTCGGATGCAGCCCCAAACGCAGGGACCCGCGGAGACCCGCGGTTGGGAACGGGTTTCCCAGGGGGATGAAATCGCTTCATGGGCAACATCGGAAAATCGGTGTTTTCTGCAGCTTCCTCAGCTCCGCGGGCAGGCGCCCGTGGAATTCAGCACCGACCCTCTCCACGCACAGGGAACGGCCGTTACCGTGAATCGATATTTCCCTTCGACGGCCGCTCCGGCCCCGCGCTCCGGGCAGGGCCTCCCGTCCCCCCTTGCTGCTCTCGCATCCCAGGGATGGGATTTCCCCCCGGAACGGCTGCTCCAACAATGCGGAGCCCGAGGCCTCCCTGGCTCCGGAGGCCGCTTTGTGCCGCGGCCTTTGAATAGACCCTATTGTTCATACCCCCACCCGCCCCCCTCCGT